ATTTATCTATCACCTCCATCAATCTATCATCTGTCTATCATCTCCATCTATGTCTCATGTATGTATCTATCTCTATCAACCTATCATGTTTATCTGTTATCTTCAGCGATCTACTTATTTTATCTATCTCCATCTCGTACTACTATTATCTATATATCTGTCATCTATTTATCTATCACCTATCTATCTCTCCATCCTATCTATCATCTATCTCTATCCCCATCTATGTATCTATCAACTATGTACCTATCAATCACCTATTTATCACCTATCCATCTCTCCATCCTATCTATCATCTATCTCTATCTCCATCTATGTATCTATCAATTATCTATATATCTATCAATCACCTATTTATCACCTATCTACCTCTCCATCCTATCTATCATCTATCTCTATCTCCATCTATGTATCTATCAATTATCTATATATCAATCACCTATTTATCACCTATCTCTCTTTTCATTCTATCTATCATCTATCTGTCCAGCCTATCTATCTCATCTGTCTATCATCTATCTGTGTATCATCTATCATGCATCTACTGACCTATTTCTCTATCCATCATCTATCCATTTACTTATCATCTATCTAAACCTCACAGCATAAGAATAATTCTGCCCTTGCCCCCACCAGGGAACACTTTGCCGTGTTTGAGGTCAGTTTTAACTGTCACTACTGGGAAAGTGTGCTGATGCATCTGGCAAATGGAGCCCAGGGAGGCTGCTCAACATCCTAGAGAGTCCAGCCCCGATGCCACAAATGCCTTGGTGAAAAACTCCAGTAGTAACTTCCATCTAACCGTGGGGAAGGGATCAGGTTGACAAGCACGTCATTCTCAACAGTTCAGCAGGCAGGAGCTGTCTGAGTCCTTTGTCAGCGCATCGCTTGTTAGAACACTGGTAAGACCCTTTCCCATAGGATGGTTCCCTTACCCAGCGCAAGAGCACAGCAGTCCACATGTTTTCACTCATAAGTGGGAGTGGAATAATATGTCCACATGGACACAGAGAGTGGACTAATAGACCTTGGAGATTCAGAAGGGTGAGAGACTGGGAGGATGGTGGGGAATGAGCAGTGACTTAATCACTATTCAGGGGATGGTGATGCTGAAAGCCCAGACTTCACCACAACTCAGTATATCCATGTAACAAAATTGCACTTGTACCCCATAAATTTATACAAATAAAATAAAGTATATCAATCAATAAAATTTGACATATAAACCTGTTTAATACAAATGCAGAAAAAAATCATGTTGTTTTTTTCCTTTGCATAACATGTAAAAAATCAATGAATGTGCCTTCCTGAGGCTTACTATGTCCTGCAGATATCTTACAAAGCCCCAGTAGTCATGAGTTAAATTCTTGCACGTAGCCTGTGGGAGGTCAGAGATAGCCTCCACTGTTTATTAACAGCTCTCGGCCCATCTATGAAGTGGAGGTAAAAACACCACCAATACCTGTCCCCAAGGCTGAGCTGATGCAGGGGCAGCCCTCAGCACAGTGCCTGGTACCCACAGACCATGGATCATCCTAGGTATTAATCTAAATCGGGAAGGCCTGGCTGTAGCTTGCATTGAATTGACAGTTTGGGGAAGAATCTGGTTTCCTTTGCTGTCTCTTTCTGATGGTCACACGAAGGCTCTTCTTCTCCAAGTAAGTTCACTCATTCAACTCATGCACTCATACAGACATACATTCACACATTCATTCACTCATTCAACTCATACAGGCATGCATTCACACCTTCATTCACTCATTCAACTCATACAGGCATGCACTCACACATTCATTCACTCATTCAACCCATACAGGCATGCATTGACACATTCATTCACTCCTTCAACTCATACAGGCATGCACTCACACATTCATTCACTCATTTAACTCATACAGGCATGCATTCACACATTCATTTACTCATTCAACCCATACAGGCATGCACTCACGCATTCATTCACTCATTCAACTAATACAGACATGCACTCACACATTCATTCACTCATTCAACCCATACAGGCATGCATTGACACATTCATTCACTCCTTCAACTCATACAGGCTCACTCATTTAACTCATACAGGCATGCACTCACACATTCATTCACTCATTCAACCCATACAGGCATGCACTCACGCATTCATTCACTCATTCAACTCATACAGGCATGCATTCACACCTTCATTCACTCATTCAACTCATACAGGCATGCACTCACACATTCATTCACTCATTCAACCCATAGAGGCATGCACTCACGCATTCATTCACTCATTCAACTCATACAGGCATGCACTCATGCATTCATTCACTCGTTCAACTCATACAGGCATGCATTCACACATTCATTCACTCACTGAATTCATGCACTCATACATGCATGCATTCCCACATTCGTTCACTCATTCAACTCATGCAGGCATGCATTCACGCATTCATTCACTCATTCAACCCATACAGGCATGCATTCACACATTCATTCACTCATTCAACCCATACGGGCCTGCATTCACACATTCACGTATTCATTCACTTAATTCACTGATGCTCGGATGCTCACACTTTTACATTCATTCGTCCACCATTAACTTGTCCATGCATTCAATTTATTTATTCACTGATGCATAATACATTAATTCATGACATGTATGCAATCTTCACTCATTCAGTCATGTGTGTATGCATTAACACACATGCTAGTTGGTTGAGCTCACTCAGGTACTCATACATATTCATTCACTCACTCATTCATCCACGTATTCACTTGTCATGTATCCTGTTCATGCACTCACACACATTCATTGTTTTATAAATGCATGCCTTCACGTGCTCATTCAATCCTGCATGCATGAATGCATTCACTCACTCACGCAGGCACGCATGAATTCCCTTGTTCACTCGCTCATACATGCACTTGTACATGCGTGAATTTACTGAAGTCACCCATGCACTTAGTCACGCATTAATTCACTCACTTATACACTTGGCTCATGCAGGCGTGAATTCATTTGTTCACTCACTCATCCATTCACTCATGCCCTCGGAACTCACCTTTCACTCGTTCCAGCACTCATACAGGATGAATTCCCTTGTTCACTCACTCATGCAGTCACTCATGCGTCATAAATTCATTCAGTCATTCATGCACTGTCAGTTACGCATGAAATCACTTGTTCAATCACTCGTGCATTCAACTCATTCATTCACTCATTCATAGATTCGTGCCTTCATTCATGCATGTATGCATGCACCTGGTTTTCGGCACAGTCACTCCTCCATTCATGCATATATGTTTGAATTCATTCTTACGTGCATTGGCTCATTCATGCCGTCAACTCCCGCATTCACCTGTGAATGCATTCATTCCCTCCCTGGCGCAGACACTGATGGTTCATCCATTTCCTCGCTCGCTCATTCACGTGTAGTTGTCCATTCACGCCTCACATGCATTCACACACACGCGTCCTCCACTCATCCATGGAAAGACACCGCGTGCAGACAGCCAGTCACTCGCTCGCTATGCATGCAACAGCCGAGACACTCAGTTATTCTTTCATGCACTCATTCATTCATTCAGGCGTGCAAGTATGCACACGTGCGTTTTTCATGCATTCAGTGAGATCGGGTACGAGCCCTGCCTTCTCCCTCCCGGACGCTACCAGAGGAGCGGCCTCCACCCGGGCTGCGCGCTGGCCTTGGGCCCAGGGCCTTAAGCCATCGCAAACATTTACTTCGGGGCCGGCTGATGGAAGGTTAAATGTTCAAACCGGGAAACCGCGGGCTGCATTGGGGGCCGCGGCGGGCGAGGGGCGGGGCGCGGCACGGGGCGCAGCCCCCGGCCGTTCCCGGGTGTCTCTCCCCGGCAGCCCGGGCTGGGCACCAGGCGGCGCGCGGGCTTGTTTGCGGGCGGGGGCTGCAGCCGGGCGGAGACGACCCGCGCCCGCGGGGGTGGGCGGAGGTGGGGCCGGGCTTCCGGACAGAAGCCAATCGATGCCCTCGGAGCCTGTAGCGCCGGCCCAGGGCAGAGGCTGCGGCGCGGAAGAGGTGCCGTGGGCTGCCGGGGGGTGCAGGGGGCCGTGGGTAGCGGAGGAAGCCTGGGTGCAGGGGACGGCCGGGGTGCGCAGAGGCTGCCTCAACACCTAGAGGTCTGGGGTGGGGGGGGTTGGCGTACAGCGGAGTGGCGAGGCCGAGGCTGGGTGCTGGGGGAAGGGCGACGGCTTGGAGTGTAGAGGAGGGGTGAGGGGCGTAGGGCGCTGGAGGTCAGAGGTCTCTCAAGCGCGAAGGAGGGGAGGGTTTTGGAGCTCTTGGGGGTGGGTCCGCCGAATGGGGGCGCCGAGTGCTGGGGAGTACAGGTCCAGGCGCTGCGGGTCGCGGGGACACCGGGGCTGCCCCAGGACTGAGGACAGACGGAGGCGGGGGCGCAGGCTGGGAGGCTGGGGCTTGGGAGCGCGGTCAAAGGCAGAGGCTGTGGTTGCGCGGGGGAAGGGAGACGTGCAGGGCGTGGAACGGATTCGGGCGAGGGGCGCAGGGGTGGGCCGGGGGGGCCTGGAGTGACGGGGGAAGGGGCGTCTGGCCGGTGGGCGCGGGCAGAAGCAGCGCAACCAAGCTCGGAGGAGGTGCAGATCCCGGGGTCCGGGAGCTCAGGGGTGGGCCAGGGAGTGGACGGGGCGGGGTAACCGGGGAGCGCCAGCTGGGGTGGGGAAAGAAGATGCCCAGAACTCCAAGCAGGTGCGCGGGGCGGCGGGGCGGCTGCTCATACCGCAGAGGTCGCTCGGGGTTCCGGGGGCGATGTCGTTGCTGGGCACTTGAGTAATTAAACGCAGCGGGGTCGCAGGTGACAGCGGGGAGGACAGGGGATCAAGGGGACCCTGGCCAGAGGGCAGGAGGCTGACCTTGAGCGCCACGGAGGCAGTGCGGGGAGGGCCGGGGTCCCGTGGGGCGCAGTGACACCGGGTGCGTAGCTGGCCGGGGGTGACGCTGGCGGCGCCTGAGGCTCAGGCGGTCGCCCGCAGGCCTGGAAGTCCACGCCGGTTCCTGGAGACGGCGCCTCTGCTCTGAGGGTTCCGTGGTGGGGAAGTCTACCCACTGCACCCCGGCGCCCACTGCACGCGGCCCGGAGGACCATGTCGGGTGAGTAGCTCAAGCTCCTTCAGTTCGGCCTGCCTGTTCCTGCCGGCTTGGGTGAGATTGGTCTGCGCTGCGGAGAAACCCAGTTTGACCCAGGACTGCCCCAAATCCGAGTCTCCCCTCATTGACTCACCCAGGTCTCTGTGGGTCTGGAGGGACTGGTCCATCCGACGCTGCTGGAAATACCGGTGGGCTTCAGCTGCTGGGAGGGGGTGATTGGTAGCAAGTGAGGGTGGCGTTGGGATTTCACCAGTTCCACTTGTAAGATGTAGTCCTGGAAGTTTCACTGGGCTCGTTTCTTGGGAATAGCATTGAACTGTCTGAGATTCTCACTGCGTGGAAGGCCGATGGTAAGAAGTCTATGGCCCTAAAACTCTGGGAAGAGGCGGTCTTCCGGTTCTTGGAGTTCAGGCCATCGGTTTAATTTCCGTGCCCAGCACAGACGCAGGGATGGCCTGGCTTGGTGGCTCGGGCCTGTAACCCCAGCACTGTGGGAAGCTGAGGCAGCAGGATCGCTTGAGGCCAGGAGTTTGAGACCGTCCTGGACAACATAGGCAGACCACATCTCTAGGAAAAATAAAAATAAAAATTAGCTGGGAGTTGTGGCATGTGCCTGTGGTCCCAGCTACTAGGGAAGGTGAGGTGGGAAGGTCCTGAGCCCAGGAGGTCAAGGAGGCACCACTGCACTCCAGCCTGGGTGACAGAGTGAGATCCTGTCTCCAAAACCACCAAGAAACAAAATAGGAACCCAGGTCAATCCTCCTGCAGGCAGCAGGCAGCAGGCAGGAAAGGCCGGAAAGGCCTGCCCCTTGAGGACTGGCGAGCCCCATCTCTCTGCACTTGGTTCTGTGGACCGGTTGACTTCAGATGCCTAGATATGAGAAGGTAGATTGTACGTCATCCCATAATAAAGATGCTGGTTCTATTTTTTTATCGTTAAATCATTAAGGCACCTCCTTGTACCAGACCAGACTGGATCATTCCTGAGTGCATTTTATGTATTTCTTTTCAAAAAAAATTTTTTTTAACTTTGTAGAAACAGGGTCTTACTATGCTGCCCAGCTTGTAGGCTCAAGCAGTCCTCCTCCATTGGCCTCTCAAAGTGCTGGGATTATAGGCAGGAGCCACCGCACCTGGCACACACAGAACAGATTACTCTTTTATTCAGAGGAGAGATTCAGTAAATCCCAGAGCTGCTTCCATCCTGTTTTCTCCCACTCTGGACTTAGAGACGAAAATCATCAGGGGAGGGACCTTAAGAGTTGTTTTCATGAGGTGTACTGGCAAACTCTGTCCCAAGGAATGGCAAAAAGGGTCTCTGTTGTAGGGCTGCGTTTGAAAGCCACACGGTTCCCCAAGGCTGCTAGGGTATGTATAATAGCAGCATTCAAGATGGACATTCGGATACATCTTGCTCAGCCTCCTGCCTGAAGAGAAGATTCAGCTGTGCAGAAAACAAAAGCCACCTTTGAGTAGAGAAGGGCTGAGAAGGAAGCTGCTAAGGTGATTTTGATGGGTGATTAGAAGATGCCTTGAGTGCAGAGGGCAGGCGAGGGGTAGAAACAAACGGTTGTCATGGATTCATAAATTCTTAGCCCCTGCCATCTCCAGGCTGGACTTAATTTTGTGACAATAACTCCTTTTTGTGGGCTGGAGTGCAGTGACAGATTTTCTTGCTGTGTTTCTACTCCATGCTGCTGCTGAAAGTGCCCCCTTCAAGGCAGCCGCAGCCGCATTGGAGAACTGTGACTGTTCTCCAGCACCACACCAGGACTTGATCTCCAGTCGTTTCTCTGGGGCAAGGCGATGTGGAAGCTCAGCACCTGTCAATTTCCTGCCACCAAAGTTCCGGTTATGCAGATGAAGCCTCCAGGTAGAAAGCGTCAGAGAGTATAGTTTGTAAATCAGATTTTAAAAGGTGCCAGACTCTTAGTTAATTATCTTCTGAATCTGATAAAAGGACTGGAAAGTGAAGGAGATTCTCTACAGAATGCAGATTTTTTTCTCCCCACAAAAGACAGCTTTGCAGGACCATTCCAAAAATATGTCGCATAAATATGTTTTGGGGTAAAATACTTGGATTTCTCTCAGGACCTGCTATCTGTCCTGTTGGTTATGGCTACGAAGAGTCTGTTTCATCAGTCTGAAGGTCTCTGTTTTAATGTGAATGCTGGTCAGCCATGCCTGAATTCCAAAGGAAGGTAATGTGAATGCCTGAATTCCAAAGGAAGGAGAACCTAATGATGCATGTCCAACCCCCACTTCCAATTATCGTGTGAACTAGCTTTTCAGGTTTACTTCGGAATGCCTTTGGCTGAGGAGAGTCAGAGGGTTGAATTTTATTATTTTTATTAAGCTATTCAGATGGCATTCTTCTCCGTCTGGCCAAGATTTGCCAATCACAACATCAATGACCACCGAAGTTGAATTTTATTCCATAGCATTGCCAGGATGGCCTGACAGCCTGCTCCCCATCCATCCTGTCCCTTTATGGGACTCCCTCTAGCCAAAGTGAGAGAGTGGGAAGGAAGAAACGAGTCAGGCAGGCAGTGAGCGTGGATCCGCAGTTGAATCCCTTCAAATGAAAGAACAATCTGCAGGCACAGGTAAGGGAACTTGCACAGGGTGGTTGCCCAAGACATGCCCACAGCTACACAGATAAGAAAGGCCACACAGGTGGCTTGCCCAGACATGCCCGCAATGGAAAACTCTGTGCCTTGACACACACGCAGTAAGCAGAATAAAACAATATGGAGTAACTTAAGCTAAGGTGAGAAGTTCAAGACCGGCCTGACCAACACGGCAAAATCATATATTTAAAAAAAAAATTCGCTGGATGTGGTGGCAGCTCCCTGGAGGCTGAGGCGGGAGGATCACTTTAACCTGGGAGGTAGATGTTGCAGTGAGCCGAAATTGCACTACTCCACTTCAGCCTGGGCAACAGAGCAAGACTCTATCTCAAAGGAAAAGAAAAGAAAAGAAATATATGAAAGCAAATCAAAATACTTTGTCCCCAAATATATTTCTTTCATATATTGGTGAGTAGCCCTGAAATGCTATCTTTACACTTCTCGAAAGAAGACATTCATGTGGCCAAGGAACGTATGAATAAAAGCTCAACACTGCTGATCATTAGAGAAATGCAAACCAAAGCCACCGTGAGACACCATCTCAGATTATTAAAAAGTCAAAAAAAACAACAACAGATGCTGCTGAGGTTGTAGAGAAAAAGGAACAATTTTCCTTGTCGGCGGGAGTGTAAATTGGTTCATCCATCCTGGAAGACAGCATGATGATTACTCAGCAGGCAGAATTACTGTTTGACCCAGCAATCCCATTACAGGGCATATACCTGAAGGAAAAATCATTCTGTTATAAAGATACATGTACGTGTATGCTCTTTGCTGCACGATTCCCAAGAGCAAAGACATAGAATCAACCCAAATGCCCATCAACAAGAGACTGGATAAAGACAATGGGGTACATAGACACCATGGAATACTATACAGCCATAAAAAGGATGCGTTCCTGTCCTTTGCAGGAAGATGGATGGAATCGGAACCTGTTATCCTCAGGAAACCAATGCAGGAACAAAAATCAACCACCCCATGTTCTCACTTATAAGTGGTAACTGAAGGAGAATAACACATGGACACAGGGAGGGGAACAATATTCACTGGGGTCTGTCAGAAGGTTGAGGGAAGGGGGAGGGAGAGCCTCAGGAAGGAAACAGCTAATGGATGCTGGCTTAATGTGTAGGCCACGGGTTGATCTGTGCAGCAAACACCATGGCAATGGAGCAAACCTGCACATTCTGCATGTGTGCCCTTGAACTTAAAACAAAATGTAAAGAAAAACAAAGAAGAAAAATAAACTCCATCTTTGTGGGGGAATCTTGCATCAGCAGCTCTGTGGAGTCTGTGGCAATGCAGCCAGCCCTTCTCTTGCACGGCTCTAGAGAGACGAAGTGAATGTTTGACACCTTAAAACTTCTAAAAGGAAACAGGAACCATCTCTTCTCTCTGAGGCCTGCTACCTGTGATGTTACATCTATGTAGCAAGCCCAGGTTTGCCAGGCCAGCCTTTTCCTTTCTCCCTCCCATGACCTGTCTTGCAGCTAAAACCTGTCTTTGGCAGTGCTCTGAGTCAGCATTCTTGTTCATGCTTTTATTTTGTTTTGTTTTGAGGTTTTGTTTTGTTTTGAGGTCTGAGTCGCCCAGGCTGGAGTGCACTGGTGCAATTACATCTCTGTAGTCCCCACCTCCCAGGTTCAAGCAGTCAGCTTAAGAAACATTTTGGGGGGACCAGGCACAGTAGCTCATGTCTATAATCCAAGCACTTTGGGAGGCTGAGGCAGGCGGATCACCTGAGGTCAGGAGTTTGAGACTAGCCTGGTTAACTGCTGAAACCCTGTCTCTACTAAAAATACAAAAATTAGCCAGACATAGTGCTGCACGCCTGTAATCCAGCTACTCAGAAGGCTGAGGCAGGAGAATTGCTTGAATGCAGGAGGTGGAGTTTGCAGTGAGCCAAGATCGTGCCACTGCACTCCAGCCTGGGTGGCAAAGCTAGACTCCATCTAAAAAAAAAATAAAATTTTTTTTTTTTTTTTTTTGGTAAAGATGAGGCCTTGGTTAGTTTCCCAGGCAGGTCTTGAACTCCTGGCCCCAAAGCAATTCTCTGGCCTTGACCTCCCAAAGACATTACAGGCGTGAGCCACTTTACCTGGCCTTGGAAAAGGAGAGAAGGTCTGAAAAGCTTTTCTACTCATTGTGCTGTGCAGGTGGCACATTCAAGAAGTCATGAGGTTATCAAGTGGAATTCATGTCTCTTGCAGGAAGGGGTTAGCTACTGTGGGATTGTGGCCTCCTTATTTCTCTTGGGCATATACCTTCTCTTGTCTTGCACTTTATCTCCATGATATGAACTACACTGAGGCCCTCACCAGATCAGCTGGGCATCTTGGGCTTCCCAGCCACCACAAGTGCAAAGTAAAAGTACCCTCTTTTGATTTTTATTTATTTATTTAGAGACAGAGTCTGGTGATGTTGGCTCACTGCAACCTCCTCCTCCTGGGTTCAAGCAAATCTCTGCCTCAGCCTCCTGAGTAGCTGAAATTACAAGTGCTTGCCACCACGCCAAGCTAATTTTTTTGTGTGTGTTTTAGTAGAGTTCAGGTTTCACCATCTTGGCCAGGCTGGTCTTGAACTCATGACCTTGTGATCCACCCACCTCGGTCTCCCGACATGCTGGGATTACAAATCCAGCCATCAACCTCTATTTTTAATGTGACTCAGTGTGTTCTATTCTGTGATAGCCACGCAAAACAGACTAAAACACACCCTTTCTTCCCCTGGTGCTAAACTGCACTGTCCCCTTCTCACAAAGGCCTGATCTGATGCCCTCAGGGAGGGAGGGGTCTCCTCTTTGTTAAATATGGTTGTGATCAGTCCAGATGCTGTGACTTGTATCTGTAATCCCAGCACATTAGGAGGCCAAACCAGGTGGATCACTTGAGGTCAGGATATCGAGACCAGCCTGGCCAACATGGTGAAACCTTGTCTCCACTAAAAGTACAGAAATTAGATGGGCATGGTGGTGCATGCATGTAATCCCAGCTACTCAGAAGGTGGAGGCAGGAGAGTAGTTTGAATCCGAGAGGTGGAGGTTGCAGTGAGCCTAGATCACACCACTGCAGGGCAGCCTGGCAACAGAGCAAGACTCTGTCAAAAAAAAAAAAAAAAAAAAGACAGAACTATAGAACTCCCATTTGATCCAGCAATCTCACTACTGAGTGTTTTCTCTTTTCTTCCTAAGTGTTTTTCCTTCTTGCCAGCAGGCCGCCACTGCAGACAGCATGTCTGTAGGGTTTGATCAGCTGCATTTGCTCCCAAGGCACCTGATGAAAGGGGTTTTCCCTCGTCTTTCTGCTAATGCATTTCTTCATCCTTCACGCATTCCTTCCCTCCTTTGCACCTACTGTGTTCTTGTGGTCAGGGAAGTATGTGCAAGGGAGTTCTGGTGGCTGAAGCATTCCAGTTCCTGGAGAAGAGAGGCATCGAAACAGGCAGACAGCATGAAAGGCACCGCCATGCTTGCATCAGGAGAGACGGTTTGCAGGAGTGCTGGTTTCTATGGCGTCCCTCAGATTTCTTTCATTGAAGCCTCCTTGTTCGGCCTTCCCAATTGAAAAGTGCCTCAAATGTAGCTGGGGTTTGAAAAGCTTGAAACCAGAAGGCACCTCTGGCATCATCGTCAGGTCAGTGTGTGGGGCACATGTGGGCTGGGAAAGCCACGTCTTAGACACCCTCTAGCCCACATCTGCTCACAGTAATCTGTTTGCACATCTTAGGGTCTCCCTCACAACAGCTGTTGGGAACATAGGAGGAGAGGATGGTGGGTAAGGGTTCGGCAGGAGACACTTGCCAGCAGGTAGAGCTGGCATTCCAGCCTGGGACTGGTGCACCATTGATTTGTAAATTATTTTTTCCTGTACCCCCCTTTTCTCTCTCTCTGTCTCCCCTCTTTCACCTCTCTCTCACCTCTTTCCTTCTCTGTCTCTTCTCTCTCTCTCCCATCGCTCTCTTCTCCCTCTCTCTTTCTCTGTCTCTCTCTTACCCTCTCTCTTGCTCTTACTCTCTTATTCCCTCTCATACTCATGTTTTACTGTTTTCACCTGAGGGAAGAGTGATGTGAAACTAGGACTTCGCTTTTTCTGGGGTATTTACCACCTGTTTTAGGTCATTGCTTCCTGATTTCTCAGAGCTTTGCTATTAACAGCTCATTTCCCTCCCTTAGGGGCCGACTTTGACTTTCCTGGTGGAGAAAACAGTGAATAACTTTTCAAAGTCTCCTGTGTTGCTGACCTGGTTATTGTTTTTGAATTATCATTTCTGAGACATCTCTGTGGCATGGTAAGTGGATTGAGTTTGGACAGTGGGAACATAGGATGTATAAGTATTCTTTATTTTTGTTCTTGTTTGATTTTGATTTTTTTTGAGATGGACTTTCACTCTTGTTGCCCAGGCTGTAGTGCAGTGGTACCATCTCGGCTCACTGCAACCTCCACCTCCTGGGTTCAAGCGATTCTCCTGCCTCAGCCTCCCAAGTTGCTGGGATTACAGGCATGCACCCGCACGCCCAGCTAATTTTTGTATTTTTAATAGAGACGGGGTTTCTCGATATTGGTCAGGCTGGTCTTGAACTCCTGACTTTATGATCTGCCTGCCTCCTCAAGCTCCCATGGGGGACATTGTAGTACTTCCTGGTCATACATATACTAGTAGCACTTCCTGGTTCACAGGGACATTGCAACACTTCCTGCTTCATTCGGATAATTGTAGGACTTTTTGAATTGCAGGGACATTGTCATATTTTCTGGTTCATATGGATAATTATAGAACTTCCTGGTTCATAAAGATATTTGCAACCCTCTGATTCATAGGGGTAATTGTAGCACTTCCTGTTTCATAGGGACATTGTAGTACTTCCTGGTTCATACAGATAATTGTTGTACTTCCTGTTTCATAGGGACATTGTAAAACTTCTGGTTTATATGGATAATAGTAGCACTTTCTGGTTCCCAGGGACATTGCAACACTTCCGGTGCATATGGATAATTGTAGCATTTCCTGCTTTGCAGGGAGATGGCAATACTTTTTGGTTCACAGGGAATATGGTATCACTTCCTGTTTCTTAAGGATACTGTAATACTTCCTGGTTCATAGGGAGATATTGTAGTACTTCCTGGTTCACAGGGGCATTGCAACAATTCCTAGTTCATTCAGATAATTGTAGACTTCCTGGTTTGCAGGGATATTGTCACACTTTCTGGTTCATAAAGACATTTGCAACTTTCTGGTTCCTAGGGGTAATTGTAGCACTTTCTGTTTCCTAGGGACATTGTAATACTTCCTGGTTCATACGAATAATTGTAGCACCTCCTGGTTCATATGAACGTTGTACTACTTTCTGGTTCATACAGATAATGGTAGTACCTCCTGGTTCACAGGGACATTGCAACAATTCCTAGTTCATTTAGATCATTGTAGACTTCCTGGTTTGCAGGGATATTGTGACACTTTCTGGTTCATATCGATAATTGTAGAACTTTCTGGTTCATAAAGACATTTGCAACCCTCTGGTTCCTAGGGGTAATTGTAGCCCTTCCCGTTTCATCGGGACATTGTAATACTTTCTGGTTCATACGGATACTTGTAGCACTTCCTGGTTCACACCTGGATAATATTAGCACTTCCCAGTTCACAGGAACATTGCAACACTTCCAGTTCATACAGATAATTGTAGTGCTTCCTGCTTTGCAGGGACATTGCCATACTTTTTGGTGTTTCCTATGGACATTGTAATACTTCCTGGTTCATAGGGATAGTCATAGCACTTCTTGGTTCATATGGATAATAGTAGGACTTTCTGGTTCACAGGGACATTGCAACACTTCTGAGTTTATTGAGATAATTTTAGAACTTTTCGGTTTGTAGGGACATTGTAACACTCTATGGTTTATGTGGATAATTGTAGAACTCCCGGGTTCATAAAGACATTTACAGTCCTCTGATTCATAGGGTAACTGTAGCACTTTCTGTTTCATAGGGACATTGTAGTACTTCCTGGTTCATACAGATAATGATAGTACTTCCTTGTTCACAGGGACATTGCATTGATTCCTTGTTCATTCAGAGAATTGTAGAACTTTCTGGTTTGCAGGGCCATTGTCACTTTCTGGTTCACATGGATAATTGTAGAATTTCCTGGTTTATAAAGACATTTGCAACCCTGTGCCGATGAATGGATTTAACCAAATATGTTATATCCATACAGACAGAACAATATTTAAAGTACTGACACATGCTACAATGAGGGTGAAACTTACCAACCTACACTGGCCAGGGGCAGTGGCTCACGCCCATAATCCAGAACATTTGTTGGCCAAGGCAGATGAATCACTTGAGGCCTGGAGTTCAGAACCAGCCGGGCCAACATGGTGGAACCCCATCTCTACTAAAAGGAAAATGCAAAAACTAACCAGGTGCACTGGTGCACACCTGTACTCCCAGCTACTTGGGAGGCTGGGGCTTGAGAATTGCTTTAGTCTAGGAGATGGGGATTGTAGTGTGCAGTGAGCCAAAATCATGTCACTGGCCCTCTCAAAAAAAAATTGGGGAGGCTGAGGCAAGCAGATGACAAGGTCAAGAGATCAAGTGGTGAAACTCCGCTCTACTAAAAATGCAAAAAGTAGTTGGGTTTGGTGGCACATGCCTGTAATTCCAGCTACTTGGGAGGCTGAAGCAGAAGTATTGCTTTAATCCAGAAGTCAGAGGTTGCAGTGAGCTGAGGTCCTGCCATTGCACTCCAGCCTGGGCAACAAGAGCACAACTACATCTCAAAAAAAGGAACACATTAAGACTAATGATGGCTGATGAGCTTTTTAAAAGATTACAATTTTACCCTTCTAAGTCATATTTTGGTGTCATTCCTTGGTCTCCAAAGTCATATTTTGGGTGGTATATCTCATTATGATATACAACATTTTTTAAAGTATTGCCCATTTTCCCAAGGTGGCAGATTCCTGTGGATTCCATCATAAATCAAGGACATGGATGGAGACCATATTCTATTCCCTCTAGTTACGAATAAGCCTGGAAAAGACTCAGGAAGGACCACGTTCCACAGGACTCCCATAGTTCTGAAACATTCTGTTCTTCACAGAGGTGTGTCATGGGACATGCTTGCTTATAACAACCGCTTTCAGTTTAGCAAACCAGGCTAAGCATCTAACTGCCAGGGGTGTTCACTATGTCTCCAGAATAATGTATGCATGCACATTTGTTTCTTCATAGAAGGGATGTAAATATGTATGTATGCTGGGATGTGGGGGACAGGCCAGGCACATTGGCCCACCCCTGTAATCCCAGCTCTTTGCCTGTCCGAGGCAGGTGGATCACAAGTCAGGAGATCGAGATCATTCTGGCCAACACAGTGAATTCCATCTCCACTAAAAATACAACAAATTAGCTGGGTGTAGTGGCTTATACCTGTAGTCCCAGCTACTTGGGAGACTGAGGTAGGAGAATCACTTGAACCTGGGAGGCGGAGGTTGCAGTGAGCCGAGATGGTGCCACTGTACTCACAGCCTGGGTGACAAAAAAAAATTGCAATATTGGTTTTGTAAGTCATATTTCCTAATAAGGAAATCAATACTGAGACTCCAGCCCATCTCAAAAATGAAAACATTACCTGTCAATTACATTCTCAACACACTTAACACTTTTAAGAGGCCTGCAAAAACCCAGCAGACTTTCGATGTCCCCCACATCTTTTTTTTTTAGATGGAGTCTAACTCCAGTCACCTAAATACTCTAGTCACCCGGGCTAGAGTATCTCAGCTCAGTGCAACCTCCATCTCCCCAATTCAAGTGATTCTCCTACCTCAGCCTCCCAAGTAGTTTAATTACAGGTGCCCGCCACCACGCCTGGCTAATTTTTGTATTTTTAGTCAAGACGGGGTTTCACCATATTGGCCAGGCTGCTCTCGAACTCCTGCCCCTGTGATATGCCCTCCTTGGCCTCCCAAAGTGCTGGGGTTACAGGCATGAGCCCGGGGAACAAGAGCAAAACTTCTGCAAAAAAAAAAAAAAAAAAAAAAAAAAAAAAAAAAAAAGGGAGGGACTGTGGCCAAGAACCTATGCATGAATGTAACAATGAGAGAAATGTAACATGGCTCACTCCATCTTGCTTCTCCCCTCACAAGCTAACCGCCTTTGCTCATTGCTACAAATAGGTCAAGCTAACCATGAATTCAGTCTACAGCCTAGCTTTAAAGCATGAATGATCATAGTCACTTCCCAAAAAGATTGCCTGAGGGGATCAGGAGGGTGTGCAGAGATGTAGCACACAGATGTCTCTGGTGATGAAAGCTATTTTCTAACGCTGGTGTGGAGAGGAGTCCCCTCCCAGAAGAATCTTTATGTTTGCTGCCTGCAGGAAGAGACAGGTTGGCCAGCCCTTTCTGAAACGACAATTTCTGCAGTGTTTTTGACTCAAAATATGCAGGATACCAATCCGGCATATTTTGAGAAGGCACGTCCTTCACTCCTTCAACAGCACAAATAGGTAATTATATCCTAGGGTATATGTGAGCTACCCTGGTGATGTCTACAAATCCCAATGTGTCTAGAAGACATGGGAACTCTCTGCAGACTTTAATGTAAAAGGAGAGGTGGGCAAGAGGGAGAGATACAGAGAGACAGAAAGAGAGAGAGAATAAGAAAAATGAGAGACAGTTAGAAAAGAGAGGGAAAACAGGAGGGAGAGAGGAGGAGAAGAGAGAAAGAGAAGGAGAAGAAAAAGAAGAAAGGAGGAAGAGGAGGAGATGGGGAAGAAAAGGAGGAGAGAGATAAAAGAAAGAGTAAGAAAGATAGAAAGGAGAGAGAGTGGAGAGAGAGAAGAGATAATGAGAAATGCAATGTGAAACAGAGCGAGAAGAGAGAGAGAAGAAAGTAAGGAGAGACAGGAAGACAGGTAGAGAAAAGAGAGTTGAAGGAAGCGGAGTAAAGGAAGAGGGGGTCAAAGTGTATGAGAGAGAGAAGGAAAGAGTGACAAAGAGAAAGAAAAGGAGAGAGAGAAAGAGAGCTCACACAAGCACCTGGGGTAGCTATACTTAAAAACAGGCCCAGGACTAGAGGCAGAAAACAAATCCCTGTACTCTATTAGTTTCACATATTTTTCTCTTCCCTAAAACATTATGAATTTTTTCACCCCAACTCATAGGAATGTCAATGAAAAGAGTCAAACTCTATAAAATATTTGAAGAGATTTATTTTGAACAAATATTACAGGAAAGGGGTCCAGGAAACAGACCCCGCATAAGGATTCTTAGATTTGTCACAAGAAATAATTCAGGGCAAGTCTACAGAGTAAAGTGAAAGCAAGTTTATTAGGAAAGTAAAGGAACAAAAGAACAGCTACTCCATAGACAGAGCAGCCCCGAGGGCTGCTGGTTGACCATTTTTATGTTATTTCTTATTGAAATGCTAAACAAGGGGTTGATTATTTCAATATCCTCTTTTTAGACCATATAATTACCTGATGTTGCCAAGGCATTTGCAAAGTGTCATGGCGCCGGTGGGAGTATAGCAGGGAGGACCATCTTGAGTATCTCAGTCCCATTCACCCCCAAGGCACCATAGAAACTAGAATTCCTCCTCCCCAAGAGGACCACCTTTTCCCCAAAGCCAGGCATAAAACCAAAAATATGACTCAAATTCCCTCCACCCGCCTTTCCTTGTAAAAACTGGCCATAAAGAAATGATCTGAGGGCCAGGCACAGTGGCTTACACCTGTAATTACTGCACTTTGGGAGTCTGGGGTAGGAGGATCCATTGAGTCCACAAGTTCGAGACCAACATGGGAAACTTCCTGTTTCTTCCATGTAAAAGACAAACTTTCTGTTCCTTTCCAGTGCAGAACACACTTCCTGTGTCTCCCCTGTGACGGACACACTTCCTGTCATTCTCCTAAGAGAGATACACTTCCTGTTCCTCCCCTGTGCAGAACACACTTTCTGTTTCTCTTCTGTAAAAAAACTACATTTCTTCTTTTTTCCCTATGCAACACACATTTTCTGTTTCTGCACTTCTTGTGACTCTCCTTGTGCAGGAGAAATTTCCTGGTTTATACTCTGTGTAAGACACACTTCCTGTTCCTTCCCTGTGCAAGATACACTTCCTATTCCTCCCCCGTGGGACATACGCTTTCTGATATTTCTCTGTGAGGACAGACTTCTTGTAACTCTCCTGAGATAGGCACACTTCCTGTTCTTCCCCTGTACAAGAAGTGTGTCTTACACTTCTTGTGTCTTTTTTGTAAAAAACGCACTTCCTGTTACTGTCCTGAGAGAGACACAGTTCTTATTCCCGTCCTGTACAGAACACACTTCTGTCTCCCTGTGAAGGATACACTTTCTGTTCCTCCTCTGTGCAGAACTCATTTTTATTTCTCTTCTGTGAAGGACACACTTCCTGTTTCTTCTCTGTGCAGGACACACTTCATGTTACTCTCCTTAGAAACACTTCTTGTGTCTCTCCTGTGCAGGACACACTTCCTATTTCTCCCCCTTTCTGTTTATCCTTTGTGCAGGACACACTTCCTGAACCTCCCCTGTACAGGACACACATCCTATGTCTACCTATTGCAGGACACACTACTGGTGTCTTTCCTGTGCACAGCACACTTCCTGTTATTCTCCTGAGAGACATACTTTCTGTTCCTTCCTTGTGGAAGACACACTTCCTGTGTCTCCCCTTGTGGAACACACTATCTGTTCCTCCTTTGAGGAGCATACACTTTCTGTTCTTTCCCTGTGCAGTTCAGACTTCTTGTTACTCTCCTGAGACAGACACACTTCCTGTTTCACCCCTGCAGGACACATTTCCTGTGTCTTACCTGTGAAGGACATATTTCCTGTTACTCTCCTGAGAGAGACACAATTCCCGTTTCTGCCTTGTGCAGGACACACTTCCTGTTAATCTTCTTAGACACACTTTCTTTGTCTTTCCTGTGCAGGACACACTTCATGTTTCTCCCCTATGAAAGACACCTCTGTTTGCAAGAAACACCTTCTGTTCCTCCTCTGTGCAGAACCCATGCTCTGTTTCTCCCCTGTGCATAACCCATTTTCTGTTTCTCCCTGATGCAACACACACTTTCTCTTCCTTCCTGTCCAGTACACACTTCTTGTTTCTCCCCTGTGCAGCTCACACTTGCTGTTTCTCCTCTGTGCAATACATATAGGACAATATGTCCTATATGTCTCTTTTGCAGGACACATCTTCTGCCCTGTCCAATACACACTTTCTGTTTCTAACCTGGGCATGACACACTTCCTGTTACATTCCTGAGAGAGCCACACTTCATGCTCTTCCCCTGTGCAAGAAACGCTTCCAGTGTTTCCCCATGCATGACACACTTTCTGTTACTTTCCTGTACAGAACACACTTCCTGTATCTCCCCTGTGCATGACAAACTTTCTATTACTCTCCTCAGATAGACACTTTTCCTGCAGTTTTCCCGTGTAGGACACACTTCCTGTTTTTACACCTCCTGCTCTTCCTTTGTGAAAGACACACTTCCTTATCTCCCCTGTGCAGGACACTTTAGGTATCTCCCTTTTGCAGGACACACTTCCTGTTCTTATCCTGCCTGGCACACACTTTCTGTTTCTGTCCTGTGCAAGTCACACTTCTTGTTACTCTTCTGAGACAGACAAACTTCCTGTTCTTCCCCTGGGCATGACACACTTCCTGTGTCTCCACTCTGCATGACATACTTCCAGTTTCTTGCCTGTACAAGACACACTTAATGTTTCTTTCCTGTAAAGAACACAGTTCATGTTCCTTCTCTGCACAGCACACACTTTTTGTTCCTGTCCTGTGCAGGACACACTTCTCATTACTCTCCTGAGACAAACACATTTCCTGTTCTTCCTCTGCATATGACACACTTCCCGTGTCTCCCATGTGCTGGAAATACTTCTTGTTACTCTCATGAGACAGACACACTTTCTGTTCTTCCCTGTGCATGACATTTCTTACCAGTGCAAGACACACTTCATGTTTCTCCCCTGTGAAGGACACACTTCATATTCCTACCCTGTGCAGCACACACTTTCTGTTTCTGTCCTGTGTGGGACATAGTTCTTGTCACTCTCTTGACACAC